TGTTACATGTTACAAGTCAGAGAACACATAAATAATCACAAATGTAAGTATAGTTCTCAGACTTACTATAATAAGTCAAATTCACACTATTATTTAATATATTAGGTCACATACACAATATGATAGGTCACAATAGTAAAATTGAATGTCATAGATATCTAACACGATCTCAAGTATATGAATGGATTAACAACGTACTCTTAAAAGTCGAGTATTGTATTATTATGCAGAGATCATCTCATTCCAAACTGCTTTTGGACTGTCGAAAAGGGATCCTAAATTGACAAAGATACTGTAGTCATCCTTTGTTACTGATGAAGGGAAACAATCCAAGTTTGTTGACAGTGATTCAATTTTTAAAAAATATAATGCTCATGTGGAAGAGGCTAATGTGGTTACATTTCAAAATTGGTTCAATAGAGGGTTCAAACCAAAAAACAAATGTGACACATTTACATTTTGTGACCTTGAATATATATGTTTTTAAAGCAATTTAAATGACTTACAACTTCTTGATTTTATTTTACATGAACAAGTTTAATGAAGCAGATGAGTTATATATCCTCTATTTGTTTTTAATACGACCTTCGTAGGTTCCGCTCATAAATTTATATTCATCATTACGTAGAACGATATGATGTCGTTTATAATTTCACTGTTACATTTGTTACTTACTAATGGGTATATTTGCATTTTATTGTGACAACAAATGGATGTGTGTTTTTACTACATGCGTCAATTGGCTAGATTTGATGAAAATGCCAAGATTAAAGCAACTACAACTGACTTTTTATTCTAGGTCAAACTGAAAAATGTTTATCCCAATTTGTAGAAGAGCCAAATGCGATTCAAATATTGTAGAGATGATTACTGGTGGACAATTTTCATTTAGTAGTCCTTGGGCCGATATTGGTTAAGTGTTTTTTTTCGATATTGCCTACAAATCATACACACCGGATGCTTGGACAGTTGATATAAAAAATTGTGTATTATCCCGCACTTGATGAATGCTGTGGATATTTGGAAGAGAAATTCTGATGATCATGACGATGATTCATTGGAGTTGAAGATAAACCTCATTAACAAAATGTGTAAGTTTGTGACTTGATTTGCATTTACAATCACATGATTTTTGGTCTATTCATTCTTCATATTATGTTCAATGACTTTGTTTCAACCACGATTCCAGTGTCTTTGTGATTAAGTGCACGAAATACTCACTTCATAATGACCTTGCAATCAAGTCGATGTCATTTGATGCTAGTAGAACTAGGACTAACATAGTTTGTATGTTGTTTAAACATCAAAAGATCAGGCAGGCCACAAAACGGGAAAAAAAGAAGGAAATGAATGATTGATTATTCATTTTTTTTTTTTGAAAATTATTAAATTGACAAATAGGTGGTTGATATACAATGCTTTAGAAATGTTCATTTAGTTGATCATCAATTTCTTTGTGGATGGAACATTCAATACGTATATTTATTCATTTGTTTTGATTGTATCAATACGGTTCAACAACTTTTTTCATATTGCTAGTGAAATTTTGGATATGTGAGGTTATTTTTAATTAATTAGTTTATTAGTTTATCCATTTGTGCTGTTAAATGTTATCTGCCATAGGTCAAAGTTTACTGTACATAGGTTAAAGTTCACTGGACACGGATCATAGAACACATTTTGTTGGTCATAGGTCAAAGTTCACTGGACACATGTCACATATCACAAGTTATTGGTCACATGTCACAATAAGACATAGTTGAATACAACTCTCGAATTACTGTTTCCAGTGCACAAACCACGTCACAGTTTATTAGGCACATTCTCTTGGTCACGGGTCGTATGCCATAGGTCACAGGACACATATCACATGTAATTAGTCACAGGTCACAATTAGACAATTCTAACTACAACTCCTAGATTACTATTGCCAGAGCACAAGTTACATGTCATAGTTTATTTGACATCGATCACATAGTATATTCTGTTGATCATAGATCATATGTCAAATATGTTTCCTAATATGGGTTACTATTTATTAATTTTATATCTTTTTCCCTATATTTATATTTTTCATGACTTTGGCTTAACGGAACAAAGTTGTTGCATGTCCTTTCATTGTGACCATATCTAACACATCAGCCACACTTCAAAACTTGATTTCTTTCACATATTGATTTTCATCTTCTCTATGGTATTCCAGAACTTCTCTTCTGATTAGGAGCTAGTACAGTTCCATTAAGTATTTCATCGGGCATTGTCCATTCATTTCGATTTTCCACTACAAAAATCGTAGCTTTGTAATATTCATGTAGGCCTCTAGTGTGTAATAGTATAAAAAATAGCCATATGGATCAATCTTCTTCGCCGCAAGCACTGCTAATTTGTGTGGACAAGAAATTTGGTAAACTTGTAACATCTTGCAGGTACGCATATGTTTACTAACATCCAAGTAAGTCAACATATCATCAGTGACCTTAGTAACGAATTGATTGAGAGGAGATACTCGCAGACAGAAGTAAAAATATTTTTAGGTAACATAGATCATTTGAAGGCCACAGACATAAATAAAAAGGTCACAATAAAATCTATTGATATTTCAAATCATATATTATGATAGCAAGCATTGCAACCAGTGTCAGACTATAGCTAAGGTAATTGCACAGGTATATATAGGTCATATAATACATTACAGATAGACCACATACGTAAATAATAGGTCACAAAATTAACCATGAAGCAATCAGAATATTTTTCAAATTTTCAGGTAACAGTTTATATTCGTAGACAATACATTCAATCAACAATGTACATTTACATAATTTGGTCAGTTCACGGACAAACATACATCAAAAATCAATGCACAAATCATATTTTTATAGTCACAAATTTTGAATTAAGTAATTTATTATGAAGCATATGTTTTCATAAAATAAAAAAAATTATATTATCCTTAAATTCAATAGGTAAATTATAGGACCGTATTTCTCGAAATGGTGGTGATGACCCCCGGTGAGTCATAGAGAGAAATAGAGTAGGTGCACATCGGAATTATCATGACTTAAGTGGTTCAAAATTTGAAGTATCTTGATTTGATTGGATATGCAAATCTTACTGTGTGTACATACCTAGTGGAGTCGTAGAGAAATAAATAAGAAGTCTGGATATGGCCGCATGTCAGCATAGGAAAAACTCCGGGTAATGAAATTTGGAAATATAAGAGGGACATTGACAATTGAGGTCCGGGTCTTTCCATAGAAGAAAGAATATGTATAGTAAACTAACGTGGAAGGCGAGAAGAAAGAAAAAATCTCTGCAACGAAAGTAGAGCAAGAAGGCATGAATGAAAGGCCACCACATTCTGTAACAGACTAGGAAAAAGAACTCTAGAAGATGACTATTACCAGGCTACTAATTTCCCAGATGCAATGCTTCAAATTAGAGTTGTAGATTGAATCTTTATTAGATCTGCATTTTTGATCTAATCCTGGGTTTTGATTTCCCAAATTTGCATATTTGAATGTGGAAATTGATTTCGGTTATTTTATTATAAAAATGTAAAATTACATTTTAGCCTTTTAAAATTAGTCGAAGTTATTCTCAAAATCAATTATTTGATCAACTGACAATCAACTAACAGAATTCATCCATTTGAATGTCAACTACGACATTTTGAAATACTTAGTATCGTGGGTGATGCAAATGAGAGGTTTGGACAAAATCTGCTATTTAATGAAAAGTTTGATACTACACATCCTTCTATAAAGATTATGAGTAATGCTACATGTACATAACTATCTACATAAGGGTTCACATAATTACACGTGGCATATGATCCAACTTTTAATTCAAATTTCACACTTACACATCAACAATTGGATTGACACATCACCATTATGTACATCATTATGTACCTCTAGCATTATTCAAAAATTATGTCCATCGAGCACCTCTCAAATTTGAAATGTGGTGATTTGATTGAATAAATAAATTTTACCATGTGCACGTGTGAACGGTATTTTTCAGGGAGGGTAGTGCAAAAAAATATATATATAAACACATTCCGCCTTTTCCTTCCGTGTTTGTAAAATCTGATTCAAATTATCTCAGTATTTTACTGGGAAAATGAATTAAAAGGAAGTCACATTTTTCACAAATCTAGATAGAAAGAAAATTTCAAGAAAAAGAGAGGTTTTTGTAGAGAGAGAGAGCACTGGGAGATAGTCAACCGACCTTAACCTTTTCGCGGTGCCTTTTTCGTCGTATGTGTATGTGGGCATCGTAGACTCCACATAGTATTGCGGGTATTATCTTCCTTCCCTCTTTCTTTTATTCACAGTTTTTTTTCTCTCTCACTACTTTTCTCTTCTCTGAACAAAAACAAACACTTTTAAGCCCTTTTTCTCTCTCTACTTTTTCTGCCTTTTGTAGGGAGCCTTTTGCAAGTCAAGCATGCAGATAGCGAGATGAGATAAGAGAAAGAAAAAGCCTTGAAAACAGAAAACTAGGGTTTTCTTGAAGCATTTTTGCTCTCTTTCTCACTCATCTTCAAATTGAATCCGAGAGAGAGTGAGAGATTTTTAGACAGAGGGATAGAAAAGGAAGTGTTAAGCAGCAAAATGAAGGGCCTGTTTTTGCTTGCCTTCTTTCCCTTTCTTTCTCTTACTAAAGCATGTAGAGAGGCACTGGAGACATTTTGATTTAAGCATTGTGTCTCCTCTACCTCTCTATCCCTTTTTTTAATAGCTTTTTGAACATAATCGCTCATTTTTCTCAATTTAACTTGTTGTCAGCTTCAATTTCAGTCCATAATCCAGCAAGTTTTCATTTTTTTGATTTTGTAACGTAAAAAATGGAGTGATTCTCTCATGAATGCATTTGTTATATAGACAGAACTTTTTAGGGGGAAAAAATATTAAGAAGGAAAGTTCTTTTTTTGGGTAAATGTACAGAAGGGAGTGAAAGAAGGTAGTAAAACAAAATCAAAAAGGTATTATTTCATGAATTTTGGGGGTTTCCTTGATAACAATTCCGGCGGCGGAGGTGGTAGTGGCCGCGGCGGTGATGGCGGCTCAAGAATAGCTACCGATGTAACTTATAGCAACGGCAACAACATGGCCACTGGCGCCATAGCTCAGCCACACCTTGTCTCTCAGTCTCTCTCCACCAAGACTATGTTCAACTCACCTGGACTCTCTCTTGCCCTTGTACATGCACCCCTTTCTATCTCTCTCTCTATATATTTATATGTATATATATCAGTCTCTTTAGTACTGATTTTTCTGGGTTCTTGATTTCACAGCAAACGGGCATGGAGGGGCAAGGAGAGGTGGCAAGAATAGGGGAAAATTATGAATCAAGCATTGTTGGTGGCAGAAGAAGTAGAGATGAAGAACATGAAAGCAGATCTGGGAGTGATAACATGGAGGGTGCATCAGGTGATGATCAAGATGCTTCAGACAAACCTCCGAGGAAGAAAAGATACCACCGACACACGCCCCAACAAATCCAAGAACTTGAAGCGTATGCTTATTTTGTTTCTTTTTTTATTACCTTTTTTTTTTTCAAATTTCTGCTTGTTTTCAAGAAATCCCTTTTTCTTACTTTCTGATTTTTGCTTATATTATAGTTTCTTGTTTTTATGGCTGACTTTGTGGGTGTTTTTTTTTTTAATTGGTTTTAGTCTTTTCAAGGAGTGTCCGCATCCAGATGAGAAGCAAAGATTGGAGCTTAGCAAGAGGCTATGTTTGGAGACTAGACAAGTGAAGTTTTGGTTTCAGAATAGAAGAACTCAAATGAAGGTATAGATTACGGAAAGGCGAAAAAATTGATCTGATTTCACTTTTTGTGTTTGATTTATTTGAGAAATTTGTGTTATTGATTGCACCAGACACAACTTGAACGCCATGAGAATTCGATACTTAGGCAAGAGAATGACAAGTTAAGAGCTGAGAATATGTCGATTAGGGAGGCGATGAAGAATCCTATCTGCAACAACTGTGGTGGTGCTGCTATAATTGGCGAAATATCCCTTGAAGAGCAGCATCTAAGAATTGAGAATGCTAGGCTAAAGGATGAATTAGATCGCATTTGTTCGCTTGCCGGAAAGTTTTTGGGCCGTCCCTTTTCATCATTCGCATCTAACATAGGACCACCAATGCCAAACCAGAGTTTGGAATTTGGATTTGGAAGCAATGGATTTGGAGACTTGAATGTTGTTCCTACGACACTGCCTTTAGGACCTCATGATTTTGGTGTTGGAATTACGAGTCCTTTGCCCGATATGCCTCAAACTAAGGTGACCATGAATGTAACGCCTCTCGAGAGATCATTGGAGAGGTCGATGTATTTGGAGCTTGCATTAACAGCAATGGATGAACTGGTTAAAATGGCACAAACTGATGAACCCCTTTGGCTAAGGAACTTGGAAAATGGAAAGGAAATACTCAACGATGAAGAATATATGAGAGCTTTCACTCCTTGCATTGGTATGAAACCCAATGGATTTGCGACTGAAGCTTCGAGGGAGACAGGGATGGCGATCATCAACAGTCTAGCACTTGTTGAGACCTTAATGGACTCGGTGAGTGAATATTCTTGAATTTCTTATGGCATTTTCAGTTAATATTTGACTAAACTGTAAGATCCAGTATATCAATTGCATTTTTATAGTAGAATGATCGCTGCTTAATCACTTGAACTCTTGTTAGTTGGGATGGTTGATTAGTAAAATTCTTTCAATTCCCTTTTCTTATATGATTATTGATTAAGGCAGTGACTAATTAAGGTTTGTTTCATCTTTACAGAACAAATGGCAAGAGATGTTTCCATGTATGATTGCCAGAACCTCAACTACTGATGTAATATCAAATGGCATGGGTGGGACCAGAAATGGCGCGCTTCAGATCGTAAGTATTAAAGAATATAAATAAGTTAAAATCTAGCCTATAGCACACTTCGGACCTATGCATTGAATTTGCACTAAATTATTGATGTTTTCCATATTGTTGTTCTTAGATGCATGCTGAACTACAAGTACTAACGCCACTGATGCCGGTTCGAAAGGTTGATTTTCTCCGGTTTTGCAAGCAGCACGCAGAAGGCATTTGGGCAGTCGTGGATGTGTCGATTGATGCCATTAGAGAAGCTGCAGGTGCACCTACATTTCCAAACTGCAGAAGGCTTCCTTCTGGCTGTGTGGTGCAAGATATGCCAAACGGCTACTCAAAAGTAAGTTTTCTTCTTTCAACATGCATTCCTGCATTCTTTTGTTGTCTTGTTACTATTTATTTATCCAATGAACTTAGTTTTCTTCACATTTATTGAGTCTCTTCTAGTTGGTGTCATTGCCCTTCTGTGTTAAATAGGTTTGGTGATACAACTATATATTTGGATCTTAGTTGAAGGCCATTTAATTCAATAGTAATGCTATTCAGCACACCGAAATTTGGTTTAAACTTCTGAGGGCCCTTTATTTTTCTTGGTTCTATGCTAGAGCCTCGTTTAAAACTGTTGCTATGCTAGCATTCGCGTTCTTCTTATATTTTGTCACCTTACCAAACTCGACCTTATCTTCTGGCGCTAATCTGCTCGACTCAAAAATTTCAAATTTTGTACATATTATTTTAATAGTACATGCTGCAAAACATATTTAAATGATGAATTTTCAAAACCGAGGTTTCTTAAGATCTGTATAGAATCTTAGACATTATAATAAGAACACCTATGATGAGAAATCGAGGCTAACCCCATTAATTAAATCATTAGAAGCCACTGTTAGTCCTATTTTTCCTCCTTGGGACACATTAATTTTCCATATGATTTAGAAATTAATGCCAGTAATCTTCAAAAACATTGGTAGAATAAAACTAAGTATTTGATGTTTCTATTCCAATCTCTGATGCTGTCTCCCTCACCCCACCCTACCCCATCCCACCCCATGTTGTCCTATATTAAATTGTTGAACTGTGTATTATCTGGTTCCAGCCTCATGATGTGTTGTTTTTTTCTACTTATTCAAGACCCTATAGTCAAACCCTTGGACTGGCTGGTCTATATTTTATTATCAAGTGGGCTTCCCTGAGGAGACTCCTAATACATTCCACACACCCACCTCGTGCCTACAAATCTTGCAGAATTTTGTGTAACTTGTTTTTTTTACACACTAGGGTTTTTTAGTTTATGTAATTTTATGTCACAATGATAATATTTGGTTATCTAACTTCATAATTTCATAGTGATTGGGAAAATGGACCGGCCTGACAAGTTTGACTGAGAGAATTAAGAACCGGCTCTAAAACCACTTGTTAGCGATGTTTTTATGATGTATATTTATTTATTTAAGTAAACATTTTGGTCTTAAGTTCGATTTTTGTTGAACTCTTTAAACCTTGACCTTGCTTCGTTCCGGTCAAAGCCTTGTTGCAAAAAAAAAGAAAAGGAAAAGAAATTTGGAGCTATTGATTGCTTTTGAAAGACATATTTTTATGAATGATGTTATTTATTATCATTAGTGTCAATCACCAATTTAGATGATAACTGGATGTCATTAAATGATATATTCACTTAAATACATTGTCACATGGTTTATTTAATTGAACACATCAAGTGTTGCCACTTAATTAGTACAGTAGCACCAGTTGTGCTAGATAACATTATTTTATTTTTATTCTATTGTGCTTATTTAGTTATATTACTCATCAATGACAGGTTATATGGTTAGAACATGCCGAATACGATGAGAGCGTGGTTCATCGGCTCTATCGACATTTGATTAGTTCGGGCATGGGATTTGGCGCGCAGAGGTGGGTGGCAACTCTTCAACGACAATGCGAATGTCTCGCCATTCTTATGTCCTCCACTGTCCCGAGCCGAGATCATACAGGTGAAGAAACCATTCAGTCCTATCATGTGAATTATAAACCCTTGGTATTCCTGCGAATTGAAATTAATTTCATCATCACATACAGCATTAACTCCAAGTGGAAGGAGAAGCATGTTGAAGCTCGCCCAGCGCATGACCGACAACTTTTGTGCTGGCGTTTGCGCTTCGACGGTTCACGAATGGAACAAATTCTCCGCTGGTAATGTCGATGAAGATGTCAGGGTCATGACCCGGAAAAGCATGGATGATCCGGGCGAGCCATCTGGTATTGTTCTGAGTGCCTCTACTTCGGTTTGGCTGCCGGTTTCCCCTCACAGACTGTTTGATTTCCTCCGCGACGAACGTCTCCGGAGCGAGTGGGACATATTATCCAATGGTGGCCCCATGCAAGAGATGGCACACATTGCCAAAGGCCAAGATCATGGCAACTGTGTTTCCCTTCTCCGTGCAAGTGTAAGCCCTCGACCCTTTTATCTTTCTTGAGTCGATATTTGATCCGATTTTCAAAATATTTGGAGGTAATCTTTAGGCCTCGTTTGGTTCTCATTTTTTTAAAAATATATTTTTCTCTTTTTTTTTCAACCACACATTCTTCGATAAAATAATATTACACACAAATCAAAAAAATTTCCTTATTTTTAACCACATTTTTTCCATCAAATAATTATTCAAAATGTATTCATTTTGCAAAAAATGGACATCAAACTCAGGTTCGCTTTCTTGAGTATTCAGAAATAGGGTAAGATTGTAAAGGACAAAACTGGAATTTTGGAAGTATCCATAAGGACGATCCATTTGAGATCCAATGGACTGTCCAAACTTTTTTAAAATATTGATTTTATATATAAAAAGTCAAAACGCATGACCCGATGACCTTTATGGGTCAGCCCATGGGGCCGATGACGTCACTCTGATGAAAAGTCATATTATAATGGTTGACTCAGTTACACTGTAAAGAATCTGACGTCTGATATCTGATTTTTTACAGTAGTGGCAATTTGGTGAAATTTGATAAATGCCAAGGTTGTCATTTTGCAGGCAATGAATTCGAACCAGAGGAGCATGCTCATACTTCAGGAGACTTGCATCGATGCAGCGGGATCACTCGTGGTTTATGCACCGGTCGACATTCCAGCAATGCACGTGGTGATGAACGGTGGGGATTCGGCTTATGTGGCGTTACTTCCATCGGGATTTGCGATCGTGCCTGATGGGCCAGGGTCTCGTGGACCGACGATGGATGGGGGTTCTGGCCATAGGGCAAGTGGCTCATTGTTAACCGTGGCATTTCAAATTTTGGTTAATAGTCTGCCTGCTGCCAAGCTCACGGTGGAGTCGGTTGAGACCGTCAACAATCTCATCACGTGCACAGTGCAGAAAATTAAGGCTGCCCTTAATTGTGAAAGTTGATAAACAATTCGAATGTGTATTGTGGATCTGTGTTTGGATCCATGTCCGTTATTGTATAGCTAAACATGGGATTTGTGTGAATGAGTCAATTCAGGGGGTGAGTCAAGAACGAACCGCACTTAACAATCCTTGCGAGATGATGTGCCACCTCAGTGTCCACTGAGGGACAATGTTGCCGGTTGCGAGGGTGGTGGTTCGGGTATTGACTCAGGAATACCCTTGAGTTGACTCAAAGTGGGTAAACAAGCGTTTGAATGTATCGTTTGGGAATTTAATTTATTTTAACTTAGACAATTTGAAATTAATTTATATGTGTTTTTCGTTTGACTTGTTGAATTTCTATATTATTCTAAAGTTTTTAGCTAACTAATTGCTTTCGTTACATGCCTTGGATTTAGCTAAAAATTAATAATAAATTGAATTAAAATTAAAATTTAATTTTAACCATATATTTTCGATCGTATATCAGAAAATCTTTATCAAAATTTACTAAAAATCTAATTTTAATAAAATCAAACAATGATTTTGTAATGTGACTTGCAACATTGACAAGTTTTACTTCGGAAAAATTTATTTTGAAAGTTAATTTGAAAAATGACCTTAATTTAGGGCATGTTTGGTACGGTTCAAAATTCAATTAAAATTGAAAATATAGTCGTTATTGGGTTCCACTCATCTGATAAAAGTCAACAATAACGGCTAATTTTTCAATTTTATTCCGATTTTAATCTCTACCAAACACCCTCTTAATATTAGATAAAATAATTTTTGTTTTGTAAGAATAAACAAAATATCAATTCTTTTTCTCCCCTTTCCTTTTTATTCAATATGTAAGTATCGAACTTTATAAACGTGTATCTTTCATTTACTAGGCTTTAAAAATCGTCTCAAAGATTTCAATGTATAAAAGCGATACAAAACTGGAAATAGAAGTATGTAATATGATGTAAGATTATGAAATAATTATTCATGATTATTTAATCTTTACACACACACTAGTCCATACATATAATAAAATCATAATTTACTATTGACTCTTAGGGTCCGTTTGATTGTAAGGGTGGAAAATAGGTAGAAAGAAAATGAATTACAGGGAAAGTAATTGTTTAGAAATTGTTTTGCAAAAAATTGTTAATTTAGTGTGTTTGATTAGTATAATTTTTCATTCGAAATTTTTTTAAATTTTGTATTCGTTTGGTTTTGTTTTACATGAAAATTGTCTTTTAAAGTGATAATTTTTTTCACAATTGGTTATAAAATTTGTTTTCATTACCAAAAAATTAAAAAAAAAAACGAAAATTACTCATTAAAGTGAAATTTTTTTTACAATTAATTATGAAATTTGTTTTTATTACAAAAAATAAATAAAAATAAAAATAAACACACGTGAACTGGGAAAAGGAGGCAAATAGGCGAGTGAGCCTCTCCCCAAGAAAATCAATTCCCTTCCACTTTTTGCTTCTTTACTACGCGACACTCNGGGGGGGGGGGGGGGGGGGGGGGGGGGGTGCATTTACCTAGAAAATTGTGGCAATCAAACAAGCCAGAACTACGAAAATTGGATTCCTTTTCGAAGTTCCAGGGAAAATAACACAATCAAACAGGGCCTTATATTCTTTCTTGATCGTTAAATTCCACAATATGTTATCAGCAAGAAAACTTAAATTTCCTTTCTCACAATTTGGTCGAATTTTCTTTTCGAGTGACCGAATTAGAACACATTACCGAATATGCATGTATTAACTATTATAATTATATGTNTGCATCATGCTGAGGCTATGAGAAATGTTTATTTCTTGATGAAGGGCCTCGGCCCACTTCCTTCGCGGGGTTTCCGACCCATTTGGTTGTCCTCTTTGCTCCTTTCTGACCACCATACACGTGGCTTGCCGCGTGGCCATCTTTCTGCAATCCTCGAAACGGGGGTATAACAAATATTCTAATAAAATATTACTTGCCGCTAAAGAGTATAATACTGCAAACTTCAATATTCTAAAGCACATTGAGCTATGCTCCCGAAGAAGCATTAAATCCGAATCTAGAATTTTGACCTATTGCTCTCAAATAATTAATAGTATAAATATATCACTATTTTTTTCAAAAAAAGAAAAAGTATTTTATTATGCTCTTGAAGTAGCACAAGTCTCGAAAATATCATATATAATTGCATAAAAATTTTCATTTATATATGTAATATATGAACTGTTGCTCAACCTCAAAAGAAAGCGGATAACTCATTTTAGTAGGTTTTTATATGAGTTGGATTTTGTCAAAACGGCCAGGGCCACATGGGCCCTGGACGAATAGTTGCGTCCCAAGTGACCCGGTCACTCTAGAAAAATATGAGTTTAATCATATTTTTTAAAAAAATCAATAGTATTGTTCTTTGGTTTCATTGTATAACTCAAATGTCGAACATCACAAAATTTGAGTTGGTTCCACTCAATTTATCGAAGCATGAATTACGCATTATGTACCCTCAATGCCTAGATTCATCTACTCTTAAAGTGATAGGAGAGAGAATAGAAGAAGAAAAGAACTCCTACAAAATCGTGCAAAAAAATATTTTTCTTTTGTCAACGTCTCCGTGATGGTTGAGAATTGAGTACCCTGGCTTGATAAGTGTAATTTATATGCTTATCTAGGTCATTAAATATGAATATTTAGGTATTATTATTATTAATTATAGCATAATCTTGTGCATTTATTGTTTGTTATGTAAAACTCAATGAATTGAAGTGAAATTGAATGAAAATATGTGGAGAATGATAATTTTCAAAGTTTGAGGGACTAGAAAAAACTTATACCCATGTGCACGCACCTGCATGCACAAAGGGATGGGTGGCAAAGCCATGTGTGGGCAATGCTTAGGCACATTCGTGTGCATGGGCCATTTCGAAATACGAATCAACAACTTTATTTTATGATTGAAACTCTTCAAATTCAATTACAAAATCAATCAAGAAGAAGAGGCAAATTTACCGTCTTTTGGGAGAGAAGATCAAATATAGCAAGGAATTAGACAAATTACATCAAGAACTTGAAGATTTAGAGCTTGGAATTGAATATCAAGATTTATTGTATTCATTCATGTTCAGTGTAATATCTTTTCATTATTCTTCTTGTAATATTATAGAAATCATGTTAGACTAAACTTTTTCTTG